GGATCCGTGCGTATTCTTGACTACTGACCCCAGTTCGCCGTTTCTGGCATTTGTCAACGTGGGACTCCACTGCCTTATCAATCATCTCGCCAACCCGCTCCCGAACTGGCTGGCTGTCATCGCAGTAGTGATTTGGCTCCCATGTCCGTCAGACGATGTTACATTGATCTGTGTGTTGTGCATATCATGTTGTAGAACATAGTCATGTATCGCGAACATCAGTCTTTTCGTGCTCAGACCCAGTCTAGTGTATATGTCGCAACCTCAACCAATAAAGTCAGCTGTTCTTCGTTCAGAGGTGGGATGGGTTCTGCAAATTGGACTCAGGACCTGTGATCCGTAGGAGCTTGACAAATACTGAATGACGAAAACGACGACCTTCGGTTTGTTTTGAGAGGAACAAGAATATTATTAGAACCAGTGGAGCGTAATTTGTCGTGTGCCAATGAACCAGCATGCAGCAGGAATCATACCTACAGACGCTAGTGGTTTCAAGCTGTTGTTCAACATAAGATGAAATTCTGAGTCGAGTCCCTAGTACGATTTCCCCGGTTTAGGAACGATAGTTGATATACGGGGCGGTATGAAAGAGAACGCGTCACTCTATGGCGCGCCGGTATATCTCTTCCGTCCTACCATCTAGCACCCGTCTTCAGTTCTCCATTCACGTCATTCCACTTCACCAATTGCACCTCGCTTCACCCCAGAATGATGGTCCATGATATTCTTACGGAAGATGGCTCGACGCCACAACTTATTGTGAGTCTTGTTTGTCGTTCGTGGCCCGCCACGCCGCCACCTTCTAAAGGACAACTCCTTGTTGCACAGAACATGTTCAAGATGACATCGTCATCTGGAATAGGCTTTGGGGATCAGGTAATGTATCTAAATCTACTGGAGATGATCGTGCCACTTACCATCTGCGAGCTACAGCATGGCCTTCGGGAATACTCCTACGACCACTTTGTGTTCGCTATACCTGATAGCTATGGCGTGAGTTCAGCTCTTCTCGCTACCAATATAACAACTGACGACGTACTTTGTGTTCGATACAGACCGCCGCTGGTCCAAAGGCTCTCCCGCCCCTCATCCATCCCCCTACTGAAGGTGCAGTTGTAGTCGGGGCCCGGGACGGCTGTGGGCAGACCAGTAATCATCCCGAGTCGGATACAACGAGTGGCCGGGCCTGCTTCACCTTTCCGCTAAGCGTGCAAGCGGCAATGTCAACGAGCTTGACATCATCGTTCAAGTAAGTAGTAAATTGTACGTCCCAGGTGACTGATCCTGATGATAATGACAGAGCAAGTCAGCCAACGGAGCTGACCATCCAAGAGGGGGTCTCTGCTGCCACAGGAGCATACAGCGGAGGCCCTCACATGAAACAATATAAAACCCAGGCAATTGACCTGGGTGATCAACATCCCCTCGGCCCATCCACCAATGGGTGTTTACAAAGCCCCCTGCGAGGGCCAGGCATACGCTCGCGCACCGCAGGGCCCCGTGGAGCCAAGGGACAACACAAGGACAAGTCGAGGCGGCCCCGCTCAAAGATCCCGCTCGCACCAATCCACGCGACGAGGTTCGTACGGCATGCCTGCCCGCACACAGACAGCAAGAAGACCCGCAGTCGTACGAAAGACGCAAGGCAGTACAAGTGGGTGTGCCGCTTGTGCCGCAAGAAGAGCGAGCGACGTGATCTCGCACTGTACGAGTCCTGGGAGAGCGCAAAGATGGTGTTCCTCTTCTGCGGTGGGAACGTGAATGCCCCGGAGAACGGAGGGAGTGCCTAAGCCCCTTGCGTCGCAACCATTCGGGCTGGTGAATAAAACCCGGGTGGAAAGAGAAGGAGAAGACGGGTGTGCTAGATGTGGAGATACGCAGTGCTGGGCGGGGTCGACGGTCGTATGCACGCTGAGCTGTGGTGCCGATGGAGAATATCTTGAAAGACTGGATACGTACCTGCCTTTTTATTCTCTTTCTCTCGCCAAAGTTTTCCCGCATAGCCCCCTCGTGTTCCGTCATCGATGCTTCCTGCGGTGTCGTTTTTTCCATTGTACGCTATGATCAATGCGCGAAGCGCACATTCCCCTATCGGATTCATTTTTTATCTTGTCAATCAGTATTTATCTTGCTTCTGTTTGAAATATCGCGTGGTGTGTGAGAGACAGTGCTGATGTCAGGACGTTATGTATGCAGAGAAACGGCGTCGCAGGCTGTCGGACGAGGGATGGAGGTGACCAGGGTCTACCGGATATAGCTGTCGGCCTAATTAGGCAACATCATTTTCTGTGCGTACCACGTGATCATACGCCTGTACCGTCAATTTCGCAGCCTCGAAGTGAGGCTCGCGTCAATCCCACTAAGGACAAGAACGAGCATTTAACATGCCCAGGATCAGGAAAAGTGAGTGGCCGCGTTTCTGTCCTGGTAAATTTCTAATTATTTCATCCTTCAGAGACAAGCAAGCGGGGCACGACCCACCAACGGTCGAAGATCAAGCATAAGGCCGCGGAAAGTAGGAAGAAACACAAGCGAGAGGCTAAGAGAAACCCTGAGTGGAAAAGCAGTACGTGCATGACTTTTCCTGCTTCCTCGTTCAGCTTCTTGACCATCGTGCGCACATAGAAAAGCCCAAAGACCCGGGCATCCCAAATAACTTCCCTTACAAGGAGCAGATTCTAGCGGAGGTCGCAGAGGAGCGGCGACAAGTGCGTCACAACTTTTTCTCGTGTATGTAGGTGCCTGATCTCGTATAGGCTGCCGAGGCGAAAGCGCGTCGGAAGGAGGAGAACAAGGCTCTGAGGGCGAAGCAGCGCAAAGCAGAGGCGGGCGAAGGGTCCGAGGAGGAGTCCGAAGCTGAGGCTGGTGATGAAGCCGATGACGTCCGGGATGCGTTCGACGGCATAAAGAGCCTGACTGCTGGCACGACGTCGGCGAAGAAGGAGAAGGGGAAGGCGGTCGCAGTTGTGGAAGAGGAAGACGACGCTGCGCCAGGGCTAATCAACCCCGACCTCCCGACGTTGAAGTCTGTGTTGGACGTAGCGGACGTGGTCGTAGAGGTTCTGGATGCTCGTGACCCTCTGCCGTACCGCAGTGCGGTGCTAGAGACGACCGCGCTGGAGAAGAAGGGCCGTAAACTGCTTCTGGTACTCAACAAAATCGGTAGGTTGTACTGTCATCGTTTTCAAAACAATCTGACCATGACATTTATCCTTTGGTAGATACATCCCCTCGTGAGAGCGTTGCTGCATGGGCAGGCGAACTGCGGTCATCGCATCCTACGGTGCTCTTCCGCTCAGCGTCGTCTTTCCTTCCTCCGCCAACGGACGCGACATCCAAAGGCAAGCAAAAGGCGCCTGCGAACGATGCCTGGGGTATTGACACGGTCACCACGCTCTTGAGCAAGTGGGCCGATGAGAAGGCGGGCTCCGACCCCCTCACCGTCGCCGTCGTCGGTCTTACAAACGTACGCCCCGCGTTCTCCGATCACAAACCACCATACTAATTTCATTGCTTCCCAGTCGGGCAAGAGTTCATTCGTGAACTCGTTACTCCGCAAACCAACATTCCCGATCTATGACCCCGCTTCGTCGTCGCCCAATCAAGGCCCAACAACAACGGTCCACGCCCAAGAGACGACCCTCGACCTCAACGGCAAGCACATCCGGCTCATCGACACTCCCGGAATCGCATGGCAGCGCGACGGCGACGCCAGCCAGGCGCCCGAGGACGCAGAGCGGACCCGAGCACGCGACATCCTGCTCCGCAGCAAAGGCAAGCTCGACCGGCTCAAGGACCCAGAGCCTGCAGGTACGCTGCGGCACTTCGACGTCCCCGCACGCAGTGTCTAATTTTATAATCGAACCGCGTAGTTACCCACATCGTCGAGCGCGCCGAGCAGCAGGACCTGATGGTCTTCTACAACCTCCCCGCGTTCGCGAAGGGCGACACGGGTGCGTTCTTGTCGGGCGTGGCCCGCGCGAACGGGTACATCAAGAAGGTCAGTCCTGTCTGCTCTGCGCTAACCTATGCTCTGTGCTGCGGAAAAAGAACTGACATGGCGGTGTTAGGGCGGCGTACTTGACCTTCTAAGCGCAGCGCGCGTGGTTCTGCGCGATTGGACCACGGGCAAGTTCCCCCGCTACACTGTTCCTGCGTCTGCAACGAGTGCAGCACCTGCGCCCGAGGACGAGGCCGTGCTAGAGCGTCTGTCGACGAGGAAGGAGCTGCGGAAGGCTGTGGGGCTCGTGAAGATGGTGCCAGGGGCTGTGGACGGCCGTACTGTCGAGCTCGAGGCACCGTGGTTTGGGGGCGAGGAGAGCGAAGATGAGGAGGATGACGATGAGGGTGACGATGACGAGGAGGAAGGCGGCGATGTGGAGATGGACGGTCCTTCGGGCGAAGAGGACGAAGATGAGGATGAAGACGAGGAAGACGAGGAAGACGAGGACGAGGATGAAGAGGACGACGAACCCGAGCCCGTCGCTGTGAAGGGCAAGCGCAAGCGGACCTCGCAGCCCGCCGCCCCCGCACCCAAAAAGGTCGCCTTCGCCGGCACCAAGAACCGCCCCGCGCCCTCTCCCGCCTCTCCGAAAGCCGCGCTCAAGTCCGCCTTGAAGCCTAGCAAGAAGGAGAAAGCGGAGCCCAAGGCGAAAAAGCCTGCAAAGGCAAAGGCAGCGGTCCCGGCTGCTAAAAAGGTAGCGAATGCGCCGTCGAAGAAGGCTGCGGCGGTGGACGGTGCGAAGGGCGAGGAGTATGATTTTACCAAGTTCTTCTAGGTATAGGTACCCATTGGTGTTTCGGACGGCTCGGGACCGTTGGATACATATATGTATGTATTGTCAGCGGGTTTTGAGGTTCACAGCGTGTGTTTGTTACTTGGACCATCTCTATAGCCATACTTTCAACGACAGTTCGATAGCCGTCTGCAGCGGTCTGCTGCCTGGCTTGAGGATGATGTTGCCCAGCATTTGGGATGAAAACGTCAATGCGGAACATATGACTCTATAGCTCAGTGGTAGAGCATACGATTGCAGTCAGCGACTCATCGTAGGGGCCCGTGTTCGAACCACGGTGGGGTCTCTTTTTTCTTCCTTCCCCAAGAAGTTCCTCTCCCAACGAGATCTCTCGACACCGTCTTTCCTACACTCTTGACCTGATCCTAAGCTCTAAGCAAGAACGAAAATTCTATTCATTATATTGATATCCGCATTGAAAGCAATTCCGATCTAAGTACAGAGCACGAGCACCACAGGCCAAACTCAAAAAATAAAAGAAAGACTTCTACCAGACCAGACTGAAACCAGATATGAAATGTCAACCATCAGTTTCATGAAGAACGTTAGGTACGTGGGAGGAGAAATGGAAAGGATACGTGCCAGCGCCATTCGTGAGAGCGCATATAATGTAGTGTATATGTATGTGTACAAAGCGACATAATCAAATGCATCGTGCGTGTGCGTGGATGTGTGAGGAGGTATGCATAAAGAGGTCCGGGAGATGACGTTGAGAGAGGAAGAAGAAACGGAACTGGGAATAGGAGAGAGAAGGCAGATACAGCGAGATGCGAGCAAACGAGCAGCGAAAGCGATCACAACAAAATGCAGCCGACGTCCACCACGGCCAACGACGCACCTACCCCCCAACGCGCACCACCACCGTGCCCCCGCCGTCCAACAAGCCTCCATCGAACGCCTCCGTCGCGCGCTCCAACCCCAGCACACGTCCGCGCCCATATTCCGGACCAGCAATGAGCACTTCGGGCAGCAGCACGCCGCCCTCAAGCATGCTCACGAGCGCACCAAGCGCCTCCCTCACATCGCCGCCCTCAAAGTCCACATCCGCGACGCACGACACCCACGAGTATCCCACCGCGCGGGGCTTCACCTTGCTCTTCTTCCCGCCTCTGCTCTTCGACGGGGTGAGAACCAGATCGGGCGTCGACGCGGCAGACGGCACCGGCGACCCGGCGCTCCCACTCCCGCTGCTACTGCTGCTCGAAAACACGCGCCGCAGCGAGCGCACGCCCGCCTTCCAGTGGTCCTGCGCGGACGGCACCGCGCGCCCGCCGCCGACCTCGCCCACGACCGTCGTGAACTGTGCGTCGCCGGCACCCGGGACGGGCCGCGCGAGCAGGCGCTGCGCCGCCTCCCACACGGACCGCCCGCCAACCGTGTCGAGCACGAAGTCGACGGGCGCGTGGTCCATCGCGAGCGTGTCGCACACCGCGCCGGGCTCGCCGACGATGACCGCGGACGCGCCCCAGGACATGGCCTGCAGGTACAGCTCCTCGAGCACGGGTGGCCGCCGGCGTTTCCAGACGCCGTGGACGCACTCGTCTTCGCGCATGATGAGGGGGGTTTCACGTGCGTCGAGGCCGACAGTGGTGGGGTCGACGTGCACGATGACTTGCACGCCCAGGCTGAGGAGCATGAGCGTCGCGAGGCCGCCGACGCCGTCGTGCCCGCGCAAGACGAGGGCGCGGCCACCCTGCGTCTCGGAAACCGCCATGTAGGTGCGCACGGCGCGGTAGGCAGGGAGGCCGGCGAGGGGGAGAAGCGCGAGGGACTCGATGTTGATGACGGGCGGGGGATTCGCAGGCGTGACCGAGGGGTCGGGAGAAGTCGATCGCGATGAGTAAGGGGTGCTGTCGGCAGAGGATGGGGGCGTGAAGAGGGAGTTCGGCGTGACATATGGCGGTGGGGCGCGGTGTACGCGATGTCTGTCCAGGAGGATGAATTCGGCAAGAGTACCGCACTGTAGGTATCCAGTGAGAAAAAGTCAGCCAGCGTGCATGCGAGACATGGACAAGACAGCAAAGACGGAACGTGTACGGGTGCCGATTGGCGAGACGCAGAGGCGAAGCCAGGCACAGGGCCGGGGACGCGACGCGAGGCTGATATGGCCTGAATAATGTATATATGACCAGGATAGAGACTGACCTTCCTGACGTCTGCGAGCCCAATTACCCACTCCCCCCTCCTGATATCCTCTTCTCGTACATCCCAGCCGACCTCCATCGCCCTCCCCACCACACCGCGTCCAGGTATAAACCCGGAATCGCCCGCGGCCGCCTTCTCTCCTACGATCTGTGCATCTAGGCCCTCCAATGCAACGGCGGATACCTGTATCAGGACTTGTGACGAGGAGACGTACGTCGGCGGAGTCAGATGCGACGTCAGCGCGAGCGAGGAGGCGAGCGATCGACTTCTGCCTTTGCCTTTACCCGAATTTGCCAACGTCTCCGGTCGCCTGTCCTTTTCGCTGCTCCGTCGAATGCTCGAGCTCCTCCTAAACACGCCTAACGCCCCCATCGACTGCGCGACGCCTTTCACCACCTCGACGCTGACCATCGTTGTGGTTGCCTTGCCATCGCGCTGCAGATCGACGCGCCCGCCACCGAGCGTTTGCCATGGATCTGCCGGCTTGTAGGCGGCCCGAGGGAGAGTGAGGGTGGTGTAGCCTGTATGTGTTTGAGCGGGTGTCGAATTATACGAGGCGATGCCCAAAGCTGACGTGGACGCAGAAGCCGACGCGACGGGCTGGAAATTACGTGCTGGAAGAGTACGACTGCGCGTGTGCCGTGAGGAAGACTGGCCAGGATATTGCGATGACACTGTTCGATTTGATGCACGTCCGTGGCCGTGATCGCTCGTACGGGGGACTGTCTCGATGCGTGAGTGGCGCGAAGAAAGGCTGTTACTCCTTGACACGGTCGTGATCGACGCCGGATCCGAGCTTGTGCGCAGGCGCGCGCGCGATGGGGAGGACGTGAGGAGCGACATAGGAGGCTCGGGCTCGAGCACGTTCGTGCCGACACTCGCATGGTATTCGTCGACTGTGCCTGTGGCATCTTCATCTTCCTCCATCAGCGCTGTCATGAGCTCCTTCGCCCTCACGGTTGATTTTCGCCGGGGATGGTGGTGCGCGCGGGATGGCGGTGCGAGAGCGGGGACGGGCGGCACGATGGGCAGGTCGACGTACTCGACGGGATCGGGGAGTACAGACTGGCGCTGTTTGCCCTTGCCTTTAGATTTTGATTTCGAGGAAGACGAAGAGGAGGATGCGGTGGGGGACACAAGCCATCTGACCTCCTTTGCCCAGTCCTCGTCGGTATAAGTGTAGTTCTTCCCGTGATTATGATTCGGGTTGAGCGGGGAGCTGGTGCTGGGAGCAGTAGCATATTTGGAGGCATGGGAGAGACGCGAGGGCCCAGACGAGGAGGATGCAGCAGAGGACGCGAGGGAGCGGCGGACGGAGGAACGGCGGACGGGCTGGGCCATGTTCGGAACGAGACCAGACAAGGGGCGAGATAGGGCCGGGGCGTCGCCTGCAGAGTGTGGGTGTTGTTGCGGGGCGAGGGCGGGTTTTGCGTTGTGTGTTTCGTCGGAAGTCGGGGCTGTAGATGCAGAGGAGGACGCACCCGAATCGTCGGAGGCGGACGACGATCTGTCCGAGCCATGGCCCGCAGCTGGGAGATCGGGCGGCGGGAGAAGCGAGGTGATGGTCACGCTCGCGTCGATGTACATGGACGTGGCAGGGGAGGTGTTGGGCGAGGACTGCGGAGTATAGAACACGTCGTCGTCGTCGTCTTCGTCGTCGCTCGAGTCGGCGTCGGCGAATTCGTCCTCGTCCTGGTCTTCGGTTTCGCTGTGGTCGTGGGGCTGTTCGAGTCGCTGGGGAGGAATGACGTCGGGCGGTGGAGCGATAACAGGGTCGTGCTGTCCAACACAGTTGGTAATGGCGGCAGAAATAGGCGGGGGTACTCACGATCACAGGGGGGCGGCCACTCGTGCTACGACGGCTCGAAGCATGTGGATGGGAATGCGAAGCCGCTGCCCGTATCAGCTCTGATTTTGACGAATGATAGTCCTTTTGCGCCGGAAATGCATACGACTGGGACGGCCGCCCGAGTATCGACTGCAGCAGCGTAGGTTTCGCCATCGCTGGCGGTGCTCATGAGTGTCCTCGTCTCGACTTTCTCTCAGAGCCTCGTCGCCACCACACTCCACCCTCCTGCCTCCGATCGCGACGTCATCTCCATATATGGTATCTCTTCCCTTTCTCGGCGGTGGCGTTTCCTTCCGGTCTGAATCCCATCAGACCTCTCATCGCAATCCGTCCCAGTCGTTGCAACTCGCCACGCCATTTTCCCTCGCACGGCCTTCCTCCGTACGTACTGCCACGAGGGCACTATCAGCCAGACCAGTCTAAAGCTTGGCTGACATGCACCATCCCTGTCATCCAGCATCCGAGGATCCAGCGCCCATCCAGTCTTATCAGCACTATTACAAAAGTACATCCCATCCCACCCACGCCCCGCATAGAATACGAGCAAGATACCCTCACAGCAGCGAATAGATAGATAGAATGGAAAACATAGGATAGAAGTCCCGCACGCGCATCCTCCTGCTCTATCTCCCCGCCTCCTGCCGCGTACACGACAACCACGCAAACCACATCATCGTGCGCAACTGCAGCATATCTTCGCGCCACGCCATGCTCTGGTTTTGCACTCGGAACTCCCCCGTCAGCTTCTCGCACCGCTCGATGTTCTCCGGGCTGACAAAATCGATCGCGACCTTCATGCAGTCCGACAAATTACATACCTGCGCCCCCGCCGTTGGTCATAATCAGTACCAGCGCGTTATGAAAAGTGCGCGCTTTACGCACTTGATGGGCACAGCCGGCCGGGATGAAGATAGCCTCGCCGGGTCTCTGAATCACCCTGTAGCTCTTGATCCCAAAATCGTCGAACAGCTCCTTGCGCATCTCGCTGTCCAGGTAGATCTGCTGCGAGTGGATCGGGTCGTGCGCCTGTCCGCCGTTGCTGAACCGCTTCTTGAGGAACTTGCGCAGCTGCGCCGCGTCCTCCCACCGAAACAGGTCCCACGCAGCGAAGCCAGGGGACCCGTCGGGGCACGGTTCGGCGTGCAGCATGATGTTCACTGCGTCCGCCATGTCCATGTGCAACCGCGTCGACCCTTTCGCGCCCGGCTTCTCCTCCGACGCCATCGCGTTGTACATCTTCGGGCCTGCATATCATAAGTAATATTTCGAAGCGCGTAGCACCTCACCAACCA